TATCGACAATAACTCTTAAGTTTATAAACGGTCTCAAAATTCTGGACAGAGAACAAATCAAGGCAACGTTTGGTGTAATAACCATTAAAATATCCTCTGGCACTGCTTTGCACTAGGGTCTGATACTCATTTATTTTGTAAAAAATTATATTTTTGATTTTTTTATTATTATCACCAGTATCAGTGAAGGGCACGAATATTTATTACTTCATGTAGGAATCACCGAACATTTGGAGTTATCATTATATGAGGTGATATTCCCTATAAAAAGAATTACGAATTATTTGGATCTAAAACAAAACAATATATTTATTTAACAAATACTCGAAATAACAGTTATAAAACAATATAATTTAGAATAAATAATAACACATCACATGCAAATCACTATTTTAAATGACTTCTTCATCTTTCAGTTCACTCAGGGTTTGAGTTATTTCCACACTGCCAACAAGTTGTTCATATTTTTGTTTTTCTTCCGTTTCAATGGGGAACCAATCTGTGGGACGGCAACATCGTAGGAAGCGTGTTTTAAACGAACCCATTGAGCGGGACATTTGATAAATGGCAAATCCGGGTATACCCAGCCATGGAATAGCTATGAAAACTATGGCCAATCCATCGATAACCGATGTTGTTATTTTATGTTCATAATGCGCTATAAAGAAGCCACCAATCTGGAAAATAGGAATAAATTGAAAAATAAATTATATATACAAAAATTACAAACGACTGAAAGCATCTATTTCCATATGTGTACCAAAGGATACGATAATAATCTTACCAATGCCAGTACCATTCCCACCGGTGCAATAAATCGTAAAATATTCACATTCCATGTAGAAAATCGATGACTTGTCATAAATTCAAAATCACGTTGGAAACGTTCCCGTCCATAGATCCAGAGGACTATCAAAATAAGCAGAAGATTTATGGCTGTTTGTGTGTTATATGTATCGATGGCCAAGGCAGAGAAATATGTTATGCCGTGCTAAATGGAAAATAAGAAAGAATATTAGAATCTAATAAAATATCTATTTTCCAACTTGACTTACATTTGAAGAGAAATATATTGAAGTCATGGCCAGGAAGCCTATCAAGCCGAAGGCAACCTGTAATTTTTTCTCTCGCAGAAAAACGAATTCATCAAGTGTGGATGTTATGATGGTGTGTAGTTGAAGGATCTGAAACACAGTAAACAAATTAATTAAAATAAATAAAATTGGTTATGAAACGCTTTTGTGGATCTTGAAAACACAGTTCCATATTTTCCATTTAAACTCTCTCGGACTTACCATTAATAACATACTCGACCAGAACAGCATGAAGTAGAATAATATCGACCACAAATTTGCCCAAGGGAAATGTGCCAAAACACTACCACTTGATAAATACAAAATCCACATATGTTCCACATTGGCGTAATAATCACCATTTGTCTTTTCTGAAATAAATAACAATTTATAGTCATTACCTCTGGTCCACAATTAAATCCCCAACAAACCTACCATAAAAGAACGTCTCACTTAAATTTGTCAAAAAATCCAAGCCGACAATAACCACAAATTGTCCCAGAGCAATCAGACAACTTTGTTTAATGACATTTGTTCGAAATTTATTAAAACTGGACAGTGTTAGATAAATACCCCAACCCGGTCCAAATACCGACATACCATGCATGGGAATTGTAATGATACCCGTTAAAATATCACGCCAACGCACCGTAAATAAATAACGAAATACATTTCCCGATCCCGGTAGAAAACTAAAGCCAATCAAGAAGAAACACATTAGTCCAAGTACCAGCATTACAGAATAGCGGACAATGGTGCCTATCTAAGGGGAAAATAGGAACATTATATCTTGGAATTGAATGGGTGTAATACAAAATATATAAAGACTTACCACTTCGGTTTGAAAGAACTTATAAACAATTACACCGATAATGACCCATACCGTTAGGGCGCACAATATCAATTGCCAGCTCATGGAAAATTCAAAGTCATCATAGTGAAATACTTTCAGGTCGTGGAAAAGGTATCTGTAAATTGATGATAAAATTATAATAAATATTTATTACACTGTGAAAACAAATTTTGACGGATGAACAAATATTTTTGAGGTTAAATGCTCTTGGACGGTATATTAAGAATCCAGAAGGGCAAATCCGCCATATGTCTAGTTTTTCAGTAATAGTGTGTAAATTTTTTTCTGATGACCCTATATTTCAGTAAGAAACCAGTAAGGAAAATTTCAATTTCAACTAAACTTCACAAACATCTAAATGGACTTACTTAAGTACGCTGTGCCAAATTTCGTCTCAATCGGAAAAATATATGGGGTTTCGTGCACCATTTCCAAAAAATCGGACGAAACTATATAGGGAGCTATATCTAAATCTGAACCGATTTCCATAAAACTTCGCATACATCAATATGAACCTATTTCAATAAGCCGTGCAAAATTTTGCTTGAATCGGATAATCCTCGATTCTTTGGTGAACCATTTACATCAAATCGGACGAAACTATATGTAGGAGCAATATCTAATTGTGAACCGATTTCAACAAAACTTCACAGAACTCGTGCATACGAAAAGTATTAAATCGTACTAAATTTGGTACAATTTGAAATTGGAATAACCTATGAAACTGGAATCCTGAAATTTGAAATTAACATTACGGTCAGATAGTTGGATTGAGATTTGCATACCCTTCACCACACTGTGCTACAGGGTATTATGTCTTTGTGCATATGTTTGTAACAGGCAAAAGGAAACGAGATAGACACATGGTTCCTTTTGAGAATATGCATAGAATCATTTTCTAAGTCGATTTATGCATGTCCGTCCGTCTGTCTGTCTATGTTAAATTGTAAGCAAAGTACAGGTCGCATTTATGATTCGCATTTGATGAAATTTGGCACAGATCATTTATTTGGCCCAAGGACGAACCCTATTGAAATTGGGAAAAATCGGTTCAGTACCTATATATTATTTGATTTCCATGAAATTTGGCATAGCGTACTAAATAAAGTCAAGAGTTATGTGTATTAATTTTCGTGTAAATCGGTTCAGATTTAGATATAGCTCCCATATATATTTTCGTTCCATTTATGGTAAACAGTGCACCAAAGTCCCTATATATCCTTCGATTTGCACGAAATTTGACATAGCGTACTGAATTAAGTCTAGAACGAAGTGTGTTAAATTTCGGTTCAGATATATATATATATATATATAGCTCCCATATATATTTTCATCCGATTTAAGGTAAATGGTGCACCAAAGTCCCTAAATATCTTTCGATGTGCACGAAATTTGGCACAGCGTATTGAATTAAGCCTCGAATGATATGTGCTATGTTTCGTAAAAATCGGTTCAGATTTAGATATAGCTCCCATATATATTTTCGTCCGATTTAAGACACATGTATCTTTCGATTTGCACGCTTATACTGAATAGAGTCTAGAATGATGAGTGCTATGTATCGTGAAAATCGAAATGATGTGTGCTAAGTTTCGTGAAAATAGGTTCACATTAAGATATAGCCCTATAAATATTTCGTCTGATTTAATGTAAATGGTGCACCAAAGTCCGAATATATTTTTCGATTTGCACGTAATTTGACATAGCGTACTGAATTGAGTCTAGAATGATGTGTAAAAAGTTTCGTGAAGATCCGTTCATATTTATATATATATCCCATATATATTTTCGTCCGATTTTACATAAATGGTGCACTCCTAATGTTTGTCCGATTAACACGAATTTTTGCACAACGTATCAAATCGAGACTTGAAAGACGTTATTGCGGTATGTTTGTATTTTGTGAAATTTGTACTTATAAGTACTAAATGGTAGCAAATTTGGTACAATATGGATTTGGGGAACCGATCGAATTGGAATCCTGAAGTTGGGAAATATGATTTATATTGGATTGTTGAGGTGGGTACTTATGGAAATTTTGGTACTACATTTCGTAAAATTTTGATTTGAGTGAACCAATCGAGATCGAATTATGAAATTTGGAATTAGTTTTGGAAATGCGTACTATAAGAGAAAAAATGATATAAAGAGTACTCAAATTTTAATTGTGGTCGATATTGGAGTGTATGTTGATTAGCCCTTTCGACATTTGCAGTTTTCTGCGAAAACAACCTAATATGTTAAGACATGTTTAAATAGTTTCCACAGTTTCCTAATACCAAACGTTTGCCTGCAATAACGTGTGTTGAACTTGCTTTGAATCGGTTCAGATTTAGATATAGCTTCCATATATATATCAGATATATGTAGATATAGCTTCTATATATACTTTTTCTGATTACACCTGCAGTACATGGGGCAGTACTGCAATATATTGTTTGGCACAGGTTAATCTTCCTTTAAATCGTTCTAGTTTTACATATGGTACACCATAGACATGCCGCACTGTTATAAAATGTTGTATAACTTTCAGAATGACATGTGTATGGATTGTTTAAAACAGGTTCATATTTTCGTTCGATTTATGTCAATTGTATCGGAAGGTCATTGTAAATATACGATTAACATAATTAGAGAAAGACGTTTTTACGCTTTATATAAATCAGAACATACATTACCGTACCTTACAATAAGAATATTTGTGTCATCTCTTGTAAATACCCAAAGTAGTGAAGGTCATAATATAACGTCCCTAGCAATTTTTTTTTAACCACGATTAATTAGTGCCATTTTTCACAGAAGACTATCCAACTGGTCCTCACTAGTTTCTGTTAGGGATAATCTTCCCAGAGCTGTTTTTAATAATATGAAGTTATTTTTTCTTCATCTTAATTTTTTCCGAAGTTACTAAATAGAAGGTAAGGAACCTGGTCATCGGAAGGCCTCCTTTGCCATTATATGGTGGAGTGCACACCTTATTCTAATTTCCTACAGTATAATATAATGTACATGATACAAAGTACACGTTTTAGGTATCAGTTGCAGCTAAGGATTTTTCATATGAGTATACTTACTGAAAATACAATACCGATGGTATATGGTGATTGATAAACACATAAGAAGATGTCTCATTGCTGGTATCATTTGCACTCATTGATGGTTCGGTTTCATTGCGGATGTAGACATTGCAGAGCTGCAAGGAAATATCAAGTGTTATCCCAAATGTTATCACTCACATTCCAATTTATGCCCTATTTTTTAAAACATACATTAATTTCCTCACTTTCGGTTAGATTTTGTGCCCATGTCTTAAAACCATCACAACTCCATGGTAAAGTGGGATTGAATGAGACGAACATATAGAGCAGCGGTACCATGGCAAATATACTGTGATAGGCCAGAATGAAAATGTTCGTAATAAGTGAAACATAACCAATACCTATAAAAGAAATATATATGTATATATTTTCCAAAGGATTTAATGTGTTATGCTAATGTTACCTTTAAATATTGGTGATAGACGAAATGCCGATATAAATCCACTGCTGGAAAATTGACCCATATACGATTGCAATACCATCAGCGGTACAGTGTAGATAGCCATACCCAAGAGATATATTGGAATAAATACCAGCACTGCAAAATGAAGTAATTTAAAATAAATTGTATAATTAAGTAAAAAATTCCTTAAGTATGGGAGGTTTGAACTTTTTACACCTTCCTTCATGAGCTGTTCTTTGAAACTATCACAAATCTGTCGGGACCCTTATATGGGGGCTATGTCGAAACATGGACCTTTGTAAAACTTTATGGCCAAGAAATTGTTTTCCTACATTCATATAGTTGGAAAAGTTGGCGACATTTTTTCACCTTTTTTGTGCCTTTAAATGCACTTACATAGAAAAATGTCTGTAGAGAATTCTAGAATGTCAAATTACAACAATTTTGATTGGAATTTTGTTATGTACCATTAAATATCTTATATTGGGGGAGCTATATACATATGTAGTATGTCGAAACATGTGCCTAATTTGAAATTCGACAAATATGGCTTCATCCACCAATAATCCGGAAATTAAATTTCGACAATTTATGAAGTTCCCAGTTTTTTTTTTAATATCTTCAATTAAGAAATGTAATTTTAAGATATTTGATTAATGGAATATAATATTTGAATATAGAAATAAAATATCATAACTTTAAACAGAAATTCTGATTTCAATATTTTTACTGACATTCAATTGTATTTTTTTCTTGGTAGCAAAATTAAACCCAGTTCCATTCTGCCCTGAAATCGTTTAATTAAATTAAAGTATTTACTGTTAATGAAAAGTAATAATAAAATTACAAGTTGTGATAATTAATTAAAAGTATGGAACAAATTGAGGCTGTTTTGTTCACACCATGACATTGTAAAACGGCTATAAGTATTAAGTATTATATGAATAATAAGTCGATTAATAACTACTGATTTAATTCTTACGTAAAATTCGTATATACGTAGAACAAAATAATCTGGATAAATACTATGGGGACTCTTACAATCAATATCAATGGTAATGCAGTTGTTAGCTGATTTTCGTTTATCTTTAATAGTTAAAGGTACAATTTCCGTTGTAAAGTGGACCGATATTTATAATTTTTAGTGGATATATTTAATATCCAATAAGAACCCATTGTACCAATTTTCAGCGAATTTGTCAAAAAGCGCGCTCAAGAACCCCAAACTAACGTACCAAATTTCCGCGTATTCGGTTGAAAAACGCGATCAAGAACCCCAAAGGACCGAAAATCGGGGGTACTCTTATATGGGAGCTATGCCTTAACGTGGACCTTTATAGCCAATCTTCGAACATGACCTGCCTGCAGACAAAAGACTCTATGCAAAATTGTTGGCGATCTATATCAATTCGTTTAGACACTACAGTGATTAAAACAAACGGACGAAATTACCGCCTTCGGCGTTCTATTGTTAATATACCCTCCATACTATGGTGGAGGGTATAAAAATGAGAAAGAGGTGGAATCGTATATTTATTAATTAATAATATTAAACAATTTTCGTTCTATGCCATTGTACAATAAAATTTAAAAGTCAAAAATAATAACTCATTTTTTGAAATGTGTATGTGTTTTATATGTGTTTTGCAACGCATTGTATTAAAAACTATTTGTACACATTTACATATGAGAAACTTTTAATTTGACCACCAGTGCATTTAACAGATCGCTTGACACTCGGTATTTTATTCTGGCGCAAAAAGATTCCAGAAATAAAAAATAACCCTTTAATAGGAATTTCTCATGAAGTTTGGCCCATCCGAAACGTTTGCTACAACGTGGTATTAAAAACATAATACGAAGGAGTATTCCTGCAGTTTTTCTTCCATCAGGATTAGAATTTTAGAGGAATTACACCTTAATGTTATAGAAATCAGACCCACGTTATGAAATGAGCATAACTTATAAGTTATATAACTTATACACACATTCAAATATCTTATTTGTGATATACTCGTCCACTTGTCCAGCATGAGAGTAAACCGGCCATTTTTTTTTAAATTCCAATTAAATTTCATTATTTGTTCTTGTTTGATACTGTTATGGCCCTTCACCACACTGTGGTACAGCGTATTATGTCATTGCAACATGCAAAAGGTAACGGGATAGACCCATAGTTTCTTTTGAGAATATGCATATAATCACTTTCTGAGTCGATTTTATACATGTCCGTCCGTCTGTTGATGTTAAATTGTAAACAAAGTACAGGTCGCATTTATGATCTGAATTGGATGAAATTTGGCACAGCTCATCTATTTGGCCCACGGACGAACCCCATTGAAATTGGGAAAAATCGGTTCAGATTTAGATATAGGTCCCATATATATTTTCGTCCGATTTAATAGAAATGGTGTACCAAAGTCCCTGTACATCTTTCGATTTGCACGAAAATTTGCACAGCGCACTGAATTGGCTCTGGAGTCATTTCTGTCAAGTTTCGTGAAAATCGGTTCTGATTTACATATAGCTCCCATATATATTTTCGTCCGATTTTATTTATGTAAATGGTGTACCAAAGCCCCAACGTTTCTTTCGATTTGCACGAAATTTAGCATAGCGTAATGAATTGTTTCATGAAAATCGGTTCAGATTTAGATGTAACTCATATATATATTTTCGTCCGATAATATGTAAATGGCGCACCAAAGCCCCAAATTTGGCACAACGTATTGAATTAAGTCTAAAATGATGTGTGATATGTTTCCTGAAAATCGGTTCACATTTAGATATTTTCGTCCGATTTAAGGTAATTGGTGTACCTAAGTCCCTGTATATCTTTCGATTTGGGCGAAATTTGGCACAGTGTTCTTAATTAAGTCTAGAATGATATGTGCTGAGTATCGTGAAAATCGGTTCAGATTTAGATATAGCTTCCATATATATTAGGATAGGAACAAAACGTACCGTAATTAGTCTAAACTAACTTGTGTCAAGTTTGGTTGAAATCGATTTATATTTAGATATGGCTTCCATATATATGTTCGTCCGATTTTAAGTAAATGGTGCTCCAAACTCCTCATGTTTGTGTCAAATTGACATGCAATTTTGCATAATGTACAAAATTGAGCATAGAATAACGTAGTTGCGTATTGTAGAAATACAGGCATAGCCCAACGGATGTCCCATTGATATTTGCTGGAAATCGATTTACACAATTTTGTCCCATTGTGACAAACGATTGACATGTTTATGGATTGATCTAAGTCGGTTCACATTTAGATAAAGATCACATAATTTAATTCATCCAATGGTCCTTCAAAAATGCGACGTCTTTTAGAATTCATTTGTTTAATATACCCATAGTGGTCCGACTTTACTGCTTTCCTTACTGGTTTCATATCGCCTTAACGAAAAATCGTAAACCTAGTTACAATATAAACTTTGAAGACATTGTTTTATGCCATTTAGCCGTTTTTCATTACATTGCAATTTCCCATCATTCATTCCATGTTGAATGAAGTCGACTGAAGACTTATCAGAAAAATCTTTTGTGACATTAAACAGAAATATAGACGTATTCTTTCGGGCACACAAATTTGGTCAACTGGATTTTTACTATACTCTATAAGAGCATTCATCCGCAAAATACATTGTCAAGCTAATTTTTTCAATTTATAACATATGTCAGAGCTACCAATATAACTTACCTCCAGTATCAAATGATGCAAATAATGACATTGAAATAATATCAATTCGAAATACCAAACTAATGCCGGCATATATAAAATCCTGAGGACTCAACCAATTGCCGCGTTTGGTATCGGGCAAGAAGGGCTGCCGCCCACTTTCATATGATGATTCATAGACCATGATGTTTATTATTTGTTCTCACTATTTAGTTTTTGCACGAAAAACTCACACAAAATCATGTAATTGATATAAGCGAGTAATATAAAATTACAAATGTTCCGCACTTCCGAACAATATTTCACAACGTTTGTGTATTCACATTTAAATAAAATTAAATATTCTCTTAATTGATGTCATTGTTTTACGGTTCTAATCCGTGTTTCAAAGTTTCGTTTATTGTGTTTGTTTGTTTTTTGTCATTTTCTGTATATAACAAATTAATAATAATAATAATTTTTATTCCGCAGTGACAATTAGTCGGAGCTCTGGCGAGCAACTGATGAGCAGATTTCCTAAACAGAAAGAAATTTACTGACAAAATAAAATCAACGGCTTAGCGGCAATATAATTATTATTATCAGCTGTTGGAATAGATGTTATGACAGGCACTTGTATTACGAGTACAGATACAACGACTGTCAGACCAAATCGTACATACTTGGAAATCATCATTATCGTCATCGTCGTGACAATGATGATCACCATTATCGCCTGCATTATCAGGATGCAAATGTATATCACTTTGACCGTGATTTTCTGTGTTCGTTATGGTATTGAAATTTTTAATTTGTTTTCATTGCATCTTATCTTTGATTTTAATTAATCAAATCGGGTTTGTTTTGGTTTTTGTCCAATTTCGGTAGAAAGCTGAGAAATTCTAATTAACGCGACGTTATTTACATTATAATTAGGTCGTACACTCTGTGTTGGAAATTTAATATAATATTTTACAGAAGAATATGTCTGAGGGCGATAAAGGGATTTCTAAATGGACACTCAGGACGATTGGTTATACCAAACTCGAATAAAAGTGATCAAAAACTTTTTTTGCTAAAATTATTTTTTTCATAGCGGTGGAAACATTTAAATATTTGAAAAATTGCAATCCATGTTATTGTCGGGATACGACTATAAAAGTACAGAAAATAAAAATTAACCAGTAAAGAAATTATCGTAGCCAGTTCTCTTAGTACTCATAGAATAGCTCATAAGTATTAACACAAATAGTGGATCGTATATGAACGCTATATATAAATTTATACTCAGCCTTATGGATAATGAGGGTATACACACTTTGCTATGGCACAAATCGCCTCATCGAAACATTGGTATCGTTGGGCCAAATCCGTTTCTGAACTATTTCTTCAACTTAAATCAAGTTCGAAATGAGGAATATAGGTCCACTCCACTTGGTACCTGCCCTGCTAAAGGTCAATATTGTTAATCCATTATCAAGCGAATACTGATCAATTTGATTTGTCCACATCTGGTGCCTTAAAGGATGCGAAAAATAAATTGTCAACATTTTTATTGTTGTTTTGTAGTTGTTTTTTTTTTGTAATTAAAGAAAAGTCCTTCTTTTTGATGGCGGACATTAATTCCGATCACCGAATCCAAAAATTTCAACGGCATTAGAAAGATACATGCCTGGCTCTACGATTATGAACATCGCACAAAAATTAACAAGATTTGATTTTTGGAAAATTCAATATTTCCGACCACAAACCAAGTTAGAAAATAATGAAGATTTTTACCGATTGCATTTATCTTAGTTCATACGATAGATATGCATGTACAGAATAACTTGTTAAAATTTGGAACCGAATTCTTGAGCTGACGTGCGCGCCCCTACGCAAAACCTCTGTTTCGAGAAAAACGCAAAAGTTTGGAAGCACTCTTGCCAACACTTGATGCTAACACAATAGATCGGCTATATCTTCAAGAGTTGTTAAGATTTTCACATGAAATTTTATATGAAAAATTATTGAGGCACCTGGGAGAAACACATCTTATGATAGGATCTTGAACATACCGAAAAATACGTGAGAAAAATTATTACTTATTAGGGGGCAGAGTTTTATGGGAATATACCAAAATGGGTACAGAAATTTCGCAGGCAAATAAGAATACAAATTACAACCAATTCGGGTGAAAAACGTGTTCAAAATTCCTCCAAAATGCCCTAAATACCGGGGGAACCGTTATATGGGGGCTACCCAGAGTCAATTCGGTTGAAAAACGAGTCAAAAATCCCCAAAATACGAAGTATTGGGTGGTACCGTTAATGGTGGCTACACCAAAATGTGGAGCTATAACCCATTTACAATACAAAACATCCTAGAAGTACAAGCAATGTCTGTCCAAAATATCAGAGCTCTATCTAAAATATTGCGATCTCTATCGTGATTTCAACAGACGGACACGCGTAAATCGACATAGAATTTTATTCTGATCAAGAATTTATATACTTTATGGTGTCTCCGGTGAATATTTCGAGGCGTTGCAAACGGAATGATAAATTTAATACACATATACCTATAGAGTTCTTCTGCAATAATTTGTACCGCATCTGGTCAAATCTCACCAAGTTGATCACAATTTAAAAAAGTCTAAGTTAGACCAATTTTCTGACATCACCAATATATACACGGCCGTGTTTTAACTTATAAAATCATTCTAAATTATATTTTGACCAATCTTCGTTAAAATCTCTTTACTGGATGGTCAGATTTCCTTTTCATTGGAAAGTTTTGTGATGTTTTTCGATCATAACTGTGTTCTGTTTGGTGACTAGAAAAAAAGGTAAAAATAGAGGTATTTTGTCTATGTATTATGTTTATTTGAACTTATGTCAATTAGGCCAAAACCAATATGTGTCGTACTTGGACAGAACCAGCATTTCATGCAACATTTAATTACAAGATATGTAGATCTTCGACTTACAGCAATATCTTAAGGAAGGCCCGAAATGATTTTTGATTTCTAACAAAGGTGGAGGGTAGACAGTTTACGATGACTTATAGCATCAGTCATTCGAAAGCCTAAGACCAAAGTGTTGATATGACAGAAAAGCTATGTCGATATTTAGCCACGTAACCTAATCTAACCTGTAGTTATATACTTTAACATTGCAATAACATCACGAGCGATCAGAAGGTCCAACGGTCTCCAAACTGAGATTTTTTTCAAAAATAGAGACAACAAATTTCCAGTTTAGATTTGGAAATTTCATTGTGTAGAATACATAGTCATTGGGAGCATTTATTAAGATCCGGAAAAATACTGGCTACTCTGTACTGGTAACCGCATTTTCAACCGAAGTGGCTGTAATCATTTTTTGCCGATAATTTTCAATATTTTGTATTTCTTCTTAGAAAATGTAAGATAAGAAAATTCAAAAGTCGGTAGGGGCCGACTATATAATACTCTCCACTACATTGAGACATACAAGAATGATTGAACAGTCATAGCACCATTTAAGGATCATTGAAATGGTATCAAAAAAAAAAAAAAAAAAATACACATTATTATTTGAATCAATTAAAATCAACCAATACGCATTCGGAAATCTATGAAAAATTGGATGTCAATCGGGCAGACTTGGTTTCTTTGGTATACCAGCTGTCCACTATTTGGTATGCTGCAATACAGTCTTCAGATCACACTTTGCATGAATCAGGCGAAATATTTCACGTTATTCTAGGTTCAATTTGGTACATTATGTACAGATTCATCCCAATTGTACACATTTTAGTTATTTGGTACACCATTCAGTTGAAATCGGATGAAAATATATATGGAAGCTATATCTAATCCCAAATGTGAACGGAATTCAACAAAACTTAACACAAAATATTCTAGACTAAGTTTACATAAATCGGGCGAAAATATAAATAGAAGTTAAATCTAAATCAGAACTGATTTCAACAAAACTTGACACACAGCATTCTAGGCTCAATTCAATAAGCTATATAAAATTGCGGAAAAAAACAGTGGGAGTTTGGTGCAACATTTATACAAAATCGGATGAAAATATGTATGGGAGGTATATTTAAATATGAACCGATTTCAACGAAACTTCACATACAATTGGACCCACATTGGGAGTTTTTTTGGCCCATGGACATAAAATCGGACGAAAATGTATATGGGAGCTATATCTAAATCTGAACCGATTTTCTTTAATTTTGATAGGATTCGTACTTGGGCCTAATAAATGACTGTACCAAATTTAATCTACTTCGGATCATAAATGTACTCTGTACTCTGTTCACAAAAATACATGAACGGCGAATAGGAAAGTGATTCTCGATTCCTTTTTTTCTATATAGGTGAACATTCTGCTATAATCCTAATTTGTGGGTTTTTTGGTGATATTCATAAAAATTCCAATGCAGTTAAAGGTCCTCTTTGACTTTTTTCAAGAAAACTAAGTAATTGGCATAAAAATCTTCAGAGAAGACAAGATGTAGTGTAGATCCATGTTTCGATATAAGGATTCCAAACAATTTTAGAAATAATGAATACACCAAAAAAAAATAATAATAATAATCATAATAATAATAAATAAATAATTCGTTATTATGCGAATAGTGAAATAGAAATGTCCAATGTCTAGATTTCTGCATTTTATGAATATATTTCATAACTGGTTTCTTGTCAGTATTTGTCGATTTTTTTACAAAAAAAAAAAAAAAAAAAAAAATTAAGTGTCAAGGACAGTAAGGAAGTTGAATAAGTACTGAGATATAGAGCTCTAAAAAAAAAGTGCCGAAAGTCGGACTGGGCCGACTATATGATACTCTTCACCACTTTGGGTATATTTTACATATGTATCCTAACAGACGATGCGTTTTGTTATAAATCTATATCTGAACTGAACTAATTTATATAACATCAGTACGTTGTGTCAATCGGCCTAGCTATGGATCTTTTGACGAACCTTAGCAACATCATTCTAGACTTAACTCAGTACCCTATACCAAAATTCGTGCAAATCGAAAGATATATAGGGTCTTTGGTGCACCAATTACCTTAAATCGGATGAATATACATATGGGAGCTATATCTAAATCTGAACCGATTTTCACGAAACTTGGCAGACATCATTCCCGATCTTATTCATAACTCTGTGCCAAATTTCGTGCACATCAAAAGATTTCCAAGGACTTTAGTGGACTATTTACCTAAAATCGGGCGAAGCTATATATTGGAGCTATATCCAAATCTGAACCGATTTCCACGAAACTTTGCACACATCGTTCTATACTTAATTTAGTACGCTGTGACAAATTTCGTGCAAATCGAAAGATATATAGGGACTTTGGTACACAATTAATCTTAAATCGGACGAAGATATATAGCTATATCTAAATCTGAACCGATTTTCACGAAACTTGGCACACATCATTCTAGACCTTATTCATTACGCTGTGCCAAATTTCGTGCAAGTCAAAAGATTCCAAGGACTTTAGTGGTCTATTTACCAAAAATCGGGCGAAGCTATATGTGGGAGCTATATCTAGGCTTAATTTAGAACGTTGTGCCAAATTTCGTGCGAATCGAAAGATATTTAGGGGCTTTGGTGCACCATTTATCTTAAATCGGACGAAAAAAATATTGGGAGCTATATATAAATCTGCACCGATTTTTCCCAATTTCAATAGAGTTCAAACAAATGAGCTGTGCCAAATTTCATCCAATTCGGATCATAAATGCGACCTGTACTTTGTTTACAATTTAACATGGACAGACAGACGGACGGACATGCATAAATCGACTTAGAAAGTGATTCTATGCATATTCTCAAAAGGAACCATGGGTCTATCTCTGTTATTTTTGCCTGTTAGAAACATATGTACAAAAACATAATACCCTGTACCTCAGTGTAGTGAAGGGTATAAAAAAACAAATTTTTAACAAATTGTTCCTTGTTATTATTTTCATTTCACACACTGTGGAAATATGCAAATAAAATTAAATTATACAATTATTGTCAGTCTTTATTTAATATAATTTAACAATTAATTAGTCCATATTCACTTAATTTACATTACGAATTCTCCTCAATGTTCTGATCATCAAACACATCATCATCCCACTTTAGATCGGTTAATGGATGCGACATATTCGAACTATTTACAGTTTCTTCGTAACGTAAACGATCTTCAGCTTCAACGGGATACCAATCATTCGGGCGGCAACATTTCAACAGACGTTCTTTCAGCGTACCCTGTGACCTGTACAGGGTGTAAATAACGGAGCCGGGAATAGCGCACCATGGCAACAATTTCATGAAAATATCAAAACAATTTGTCGATTGACTGCTAAAGACATAATTGAAGAGAACTAAAAATGATACGACGACCTCAAAAAAAAAATTCATATGATTATAATGTAAAAATTCTCTGAAGATAATATTCGAGTATTGTTAAACGTACCATTACCACCAAAATACACAGTGGTGCAAAAAATCTTAGCACATAAACATCAAATGTATCGAAACGTTTACTAGTCATAAAATAGATATCACGTTGAAAACGTTCACGTCCATAGATCCAGGTTACCAAGAGTATTAGAAGAAGATTTATCAGTGATTGACTAATAAATGTCTCCAGCATTAAATTTACACTTGACTCATAGCCACTCTATGGAATAAGTTATGTATTAAAATATTATATAAAACGAATATTTTAACAAGTAAATGGGTTCTTAATTTTAGCAGGGCGTAATCCCATTTTGTTGTTTTTATAAAAAAAATGTATGCATTTGTTTACAAATGCCTTCTTAACCAGGAAGTAAGGGCCAATGAAATTTTCCTTAAATTAAACTCTTTGGTTCGCTAAATATTTCGATTTGTTACAAGTGATTTTAGCTATAAATGAGATTTTTTAAAGAAGCTGTAAATTGCTTCGGGGGAGAATATCACTAACAAAAAAAGTTATACAACTGATGAAGATGAGTGGCGAGATGCGAAACTAAAATCATCCCAGTGGACAATGCCATATATTACCCAAAAATAAATGGATGTTTTTATAAAACCCACAAACTGGGATTACGCCGGACTATTTTGCAATAACAATCTAAAGGAAGTATTTATAGACAATCTGAAGTTAGTCTTTATAGACAAACTGAAGGGAGTCTTTATAGACGAACTGAAGAGAGTCTTTATAAATGAAATGAAGGAAGTATTCATAAACCAACTGAAGGAAGTTTTGTGGGCGAGTTTAAGGGAATCTTTATAGACGAAAATGGGCGGGACCTTTATTAGGGACTATGTAGAAAATGGAAATATTCCGGAATGCCAATTTTAGTGGGAAAATGCTGTTGAATTCGTTATATACATACCAATGATGAAAAATAAAGCGACAATATAGCCATTGCCGCTATAACGTAAAGGGTGCAACACAATTTTTGTTCACGCAAAAAGACAAATTCGTCGAAAACACTTGTCAATATCGAATGGAGTTGTATTACCTGAAATTGTAAATATTTTGTAAAACGAAATTATCTACAGTAATTATTGCTTGCTTACCATTAAAACTACAGTAGCTAAAAATAACATACCGTAGAACAATATACACCAAACGTTTGGCCACTCCAAGGCTGCCAATGAACTACCGCTGGTTAAGAAAAATGATCCAAATTGTGTCTGTTGTCGAAAGTAATGGTCTTCGGTTGAAGCTACAAAGAAATAAATCAAGGGGTTAAAAATTGTATTTTAAGAATGCGTGGATAGAAATATTTTACAATTTAATATATAGAGAGAAATATTTGATATTTATCTAAATATGAAGCTACATAGATCTATTCATAAATATGTCATTCGTTTGTTACAATAGGACAAAAGTATGCAAATCGACTTCAAACAAATATACAAAGGTCATCCGTTGATATCTGCATTTAATGAATACAATTAATAAAACATTAAGTACTGGTTCCTTGTCAACTTTGGAGTGTGTAGGTGGTGGTGGCCGGTTTTATATTTTACATAAACTTTTTGTCGTTTTCATTTTTCTATTTTGGTTTTATGTTTATATTGAAATAATTTCGAAAATACCTATGCGAATTTTATTACATTTTATTACATGACATCACTTTAACAGTTCAAATTAGAGAAACGATGGATATATAACTTTGGTACCCATTCATGAATGGAGAGAGAGAGAGAGAGAGTATATAGAGAGCTATTATCCAAATTGCAAATTTTCATTAAACTTGGCAGACATCATCCTAGGCTCAATTCAGTACGCTATGCCAAATTTCGTGCAAATCGAAGGATATATAGGGACATTAGTTTTTGTCAAAAATTAAAGAGAGGAAAATATAGAGAGAGAGAGCTATATCTAAACATTGACCGATTTTCTCGAAACTTGTGTAGGTGGTTGTGGCCAGTTTTCTATGGTACATAAACTTTTTTCGTTTTAATTTTTTCTATTTCGGTTTTATGTTTTTATCGAAATAATTTCGAAAATACATAAGCGAATTTTATTACATAATGCAGAGGTCTGTAACAGTGTCTAAAATAACGAAACAATGGAAAGCAAAATTAACCACACAATCGAGTGAATGGAGAGTCGGTAAAAAAAAATTAGTCCAACGGTTGCAAGAACTAACAGAAATGCTATTCTTTCAAGAGGAGAGAGAGAAAAATAACACAACTGGTAAACCTACGAACAATGAACAGAGTTTATAATAATTTTGAATTTTGAAAATAATTTTGATTTTAATGAATAGTTTACATTTTTTTGAAAAATAGTCGATTTCTTATGATTATAAGGATTTTTTACTTTTATTCTAAGCGAGGTACATCTACAATTTGAAAAAATGAACTATGAATAAAATTATGAAAATATTCTTTAAAATGTTTTCTGTATAAGGTGAAATTGACTACAATGAACAGGAAGAAAAGCAAAGCTATTCTTTCATGAGAAATAAAACAACTGGTAAACATACAGAGAAGAAACAGAGTTTCACGTCATCTGCTAACAGCTTCAATCTGGGCAAACCACACTGTGATACAAATTTTTTTGTGCAAAAAGTGTGTAAATTCAAATAGAAAAGAGATAGAGCACCTTTCGTGAAAGAGGAAAATTCCACTGACTTTCTGAAAAGATTTATGCATGTCCGGACGAGCTCTGCTACGCCCTGATCGACGACAACTGTGCAGCCGGCCAGCATAATTGGATACAAAGATGCAGCTCATTTATTTGACCTGCAAAAATATGTGAACCTATAGATAAAAGTCGATTATTTAGATGTTAATGATATAGCCCCTTATATATTTTATAACAAGTACAACCAGTAAGGAAAGCAGTAAAGTCTGACTGGGCCGACTATATAATAACCTTCACCACTTTGGGTATATTCTACATATGTCTCCCAACAGACTTGACATGTGTTAAGTATGGTGGAAATGGGTTCAAATTTATATATACCTCCCATGTATATTCTTACAACTCCGATTATTTTTCTGATTGAAGCGTATTGAATTGAGAGTAGATTGAGGTATATTAAGTCTTTTTGAATTCGGTTCAGATTTAAATATAGCCCCCATATGTAAGTTCGTCCGATTTTATGTAAATGGTGCACCAACCAGCCTATGTTTGTTTTGATTACACGAAAATTGGCATAGCATATAAAATTGAGTCAAGAATGACGTGTTATAAGTTTTGTTGAAATCGGTTCAGATTTAGATATAAATCCCATAGTTGTGGCAAAGCGTATTGAATTGAGTCTAGAAAAGCGTGTGTTAAGTTTTGTTGAAATCGGTTCAATCGGATATAGCTCCCTTATATATTTTCGTCCGATTTTTGGAATTGGTGAATTAAAACCGAAAATTGTTGAAAAAACAATTAAGATTTAGGATATAGCTTCTATATATTTTCGCTATTTGCAGGTTGATATAAATCCAGCGTAATGAATTAGATGTGTGTTACGTTTTTGAAAATCGGCCTTACAGAAAATAGATCTCATATATATTTTCCTCCGATTTAATGTAAATGGTGCACCAAAGTCCCTTAATATCTTTCGGTTTGCCCTAAATTTGGTACAGCGTAATTAATTATAACCCCTATATATGTGTGTTAAGTTTCCTGAAATCGTTCAGAAATATAATCTTTCGTATATCTGTTATTACATTTTGGACATATATTGGATATACATTTCTTCGATTTCATGTAAATGGTAAACCAAAGACTCCAAGTCTTTTCAAATGATATGCATTTGTGCTTAGATTTCAGAATGATATTGAATCATTTTGGGAAAGAAGGTTTTTATTCACTAGTAGTCCGATATACCCAAATTATGACCACTTCGAATAGAAAACTCAATTGAAAATTGAAACATATCAAAACTTGAGCCTGTATAGAAAAATGTATCCTAAAAATCTTCAAAATACTGTCAATGGGTTGCTACTCTTATATGGGAGCTATGTCAAAACAAACATCGGTGGGAAAATACTGATGAAACCTTGAAAAATATCGAAAATGGATCAGTGTCGTTATATGGAGGATATACCAAAACGTAAAACGATATTGATACTTTTTGAAACCCAATGAGAACCTGAAAAATCACATTACAATATTTTCGCTTGGAAAACGTGCACAAAATACTGAAAAATGGGTGTATTTATATAAGAAGTCTATCGCATAACATGGCCCAATATTGATCATTTTTGTTAGAAACAATTTTTATTAAAATACGCATTTGAAATAGAAATTATATTTGTATTAATATATAATTCTCCAGAATTTGGAAAATGTTGTGTATTTTCCAAATGACCATGAAAATCGATTTCGGAACCACCGTGCGTCGTCTCTTATATCCAACTTACTTAATGTAAATGTTAAATACTTACATTTCAAGTGTAAATTAATGAATTTCTCCAACATATCCAAACTGAAAATAACAAACATTTGTCCAATACCGATTATCCAACTACTTCTTGTGATATTCGTACGAAATTTATTAAAACTTGACAGTGTAATGAAGAGACCCCATCCTGGTCCAAAGGCAGAAATACCATATGCTGGTAATTTTGACATTTCCGACACGAAGTCGTTCCAATTTGGTTGGAAAATGCGTTTATAGTGTGCCAAGGTTCCGGGCTCAAAACTATAACGGATGATAAAAATCATCAGTAGACATATAATGTGCTGTACCGAATACCGTATAAATTGGCCAATCTGAAAATAATGGAAAGTACTTTTAAATTCCTCTGATATTATTCATGTAGAAAATATACCTTTTCCGTGGAAGATAATCTATAAAACACCATTGCAATTATGGTCCACAATAGTAGAACACTTAGGGCCAAATGCCAGGACATGTGAATATCCAAACCCAGGAAATGGTATTTACCAAAAAGGTTGCTGGGGAAAAGAAAGGGTTCTCATAAAAACTTCACGATAAACATTATTTCGGATTTTGAGAACTTACTAAAAGTACAACGATGATGCCACAGAGCGATAGCAGCCTCCTTCACAATGATCGTCTTCAACATTTGGACAGAGCTAATCAAGAAATCATAAGCAAAACAAAATCAGTTGATTAACTAGTAACATTTTCCCTATTCTCATTTTCCATACCACAACTTACAAGAACATCCTCTTGCGTCCATTTGCGTATACCCTCACAGCTCCATGGTAATATCGTTTTGAATGATGTAAACAAGTAGACTAAGGGTATTATGCCAAATACACTGTAATAGATCAGGACACATGCGTTCAGGAACAAGGAAACATAACCAATGCCTAAATAAAAAATAAAACAATTTTAGTTTTTAAGGGAAAAAATCTAGTTTAGTTGTTACCTTTAAACAATGGACACAATCGTAAGGCTGATATAAATCCACTACTTGAAAATTGACCCAAAAATGATTTGACCACCAGCAATGGCACGACATACGATGCTAGACTGACCAAATATGCTGGTAGAAAACCGCTGACTGGAAAACAAATGACAAAAAATTAGAAATGAATGATGTTGTGAAAACTAAACGTCATCATATAAAACAGTAAGGAAAGTTTAAAAGTCGGACGGGGTTGACTATATGATACCTTCACCACTTTGGGTACATAAAATATGTATAGAACAGACATAGCATATTTGGAGGATCATTTAATGCGCCGTCCAAAAAATGTATCTCAATGGGAGAAACGTTTATTATTTGGTCCAAAATTTTAGTAAAATTTTGTGGCAATCGGCCTAACTTTGGGTCTTTGGTGCACCATTTGCATAAAATCAGACAAAAACAGTAACGAAAGTAGTAAAGCCGGACGGGGCCGACTATATGATACCATTCACCACTTTGGGTATATTCAAAAGATGAATCTTAACAGACATCGCATTTTTGAAGGACCAGTAAAATAAAATTGGACCCATAAACATGTTTTTCTGCAACCTATACTAAATTTCTCATTTGGTCAGATATAGAGTTGATTCTTTTCAATGGGACAAAATTATGTAAATCAATTTAAAGCATATATCAATCGGATTCCCATTGATTATTTGGATACATATCTGATAAACATGTGGAGTTTGTTGCGCCATTTACTTCAAATCGGACGAAAGTTTGTATAAAAGCTATATCGAAATCTAAGCCGATTTCATCGAAACTTGTCACAGAATATCGGACATATTTTGAGTTCTTGGTGCATCATTTAGTTAAAATCGGGAGAAAATACGTATGGTTGCTCTATCCAAATTTGAACCGATTCAAGAAAATTTTCTACATGCTAGGTTACATAAACTATATAAATTTGGGTCTTTGGTGCAGATTTTACTTAAAATTTGACGAAACTATATATAAAATCGGACGAAAATATATATGGGAGCTATATGTACATCTTAACCGATTTTCAGGAAACTTAATACACATCATTGTAGACCCAATTCATTATGCTGTGCCAAATTTCGTGCAAATCGAAAGATATTTAGGGACTTTTGTACACCATTTTCCTTAAATCGGACGAAAATATATATGGAAGCTATATCTAAATCGGAACCGATTTTCACGAAAATTAACACACACCATTCTATGCTTTATTCAGTACGCTAAACCAAATTTCGTGCAATTTCGTAATTTAGTACGCTGTGCCAAATTTCGTGCAAATCGAAAGATATATAGGGACATTGGTGCACCATTTACCTTAAATCGGACGAAAATATATATGGGAACTATATCTAAATCTGAACCGATTTTTCCCAATTTCAATAGGGTTCGTCCTTGTGCCAAATAAGTGACGTATGCCAAATTTCATCCAATTCGGATAATAAATGCGACCTGTACTTTGTTTACAATTTTACATGGACAGACAGACGGGCGGACATGCATAAATCGACTTAAAAAGTGATTCTATGCATATTCTCAAAAGGAACCATGTGTCTATCTCGTTTCCTTTTGCCTGTTACAAACATATGCACAAAGACATAATACCTTGTAGCACAGTGTGGTGAAGAATATAAATATATATGGGAGATATATCTGAGCCGATTTCAACAAAACTTAAAAGAAATCCATTTTTTCGGCAGATATTTGTACTGATAGATTTCTCGTCAATTATCGAAGGGTGGCATTTCACAGTAAAAAAATATATTTCCTTTTGTTCGGTGCATTCATGTGCGAGTTACAGGATGTTAAACATGGAAGTGAACAAAGAGAAAATTCGGTAAATTTTGTGAATCGACCATAAAACCAGTGAAACTGCCGGAGCTTGGTTGGGAAATTTTAATTAAAGTCCTGTAGTTCATATAAAAATGATGGATTTCTTTTCCCCAACCTAATATATTAAGAAACAGTGAGCGGAGCAATATATTCGGACGGGCCGACCATACGATACCCTACACAACTACCACGGAACTCTAACTTTCTGCGCATTTTTATTCCGAGCCTGGGCAATATTTCGTGATAGTTGCACTCTCTTCACCGACTAGAGGGACCGAAATATTACTAATATTCAGTACAGCCCTTCTAATTACTTGTTCAGATACCCTTCACCGTGGCTTGTGTCGTGATGTTCGGCTTTCAATTGCGGCCTATAGATCGACTCGAAGAAACACAAAAAAATAAGTTTTCTGTTTAATTCATCCCAAAATTATTATCTGATCAGGCGTTATCCTTGACCATACCTCATGGAACATTTCAAAGCGATCAGCGCTATATTTTCGCCCTCCTGTGTGTTAATGGATTACTAAATAATACATTAATACGTAAGCACCTGTAAATATTTAAGTTTAACACCCGATTCAGAGTAAATACGACAATATAATTATTATCAATTTAAAGGTCAACCAATCCTCTTCTCGGGTCTATGTCCTTCAGGGGTAAATAAATATGCCATAGAATACAAATGTTGTTATTTTTCACACAAAAGTCAGGGTCTATTTGATCCGCAAAATATTGACCGATCTGTATAAAAACAGGCATGCTTATTTTTCGACCCGATCCCCTTCTCCATGTAAAATTTTGAGATGTTCGGACCATAATTGCGGTCTCTGGAGCGACCAGAAAAAAACGACAATGATTAAGTATTTGATCCATTTCATCCCCTAAATATTAACCGTTTAACATTTGCCAGTACCAATCCTACATGTAAAATTTCGTGAAAATTGTCCAAAACTGTGGTCTGTATCGTTTTTACAAATTATAAAGGCAGACGGACACACATGTCTATATCGACTCAGCTAGTCGAGATATGACGATCAGTATACTTAAAGGTGAATATTTCGCGGCGTTACAAACTCGAGCTGCACAAATCTATAATACCCTGACAACATAGTTTTGTAGGGTATAATTACCAATATAGGTCCATATTTTTATATTACCCTCACGTATCGCCACGTCGTCAGTATTTTTAAGGATTTAGCCTTTCCCATTGTAGTTAATGTACGGTGGCATTCTGGGATATTGGAGGACGAAACAGTTTTGCGGATATTGTTCCATATAGATATGTTTTGATGTAGCCGACACGTACAGATCTCGGCATTTTTTTTTTTTTGTTTAGCAAAATTTTTTCACCGAATTTTCAAAATAGGTTCTTGTATTGGCATAGTATTCATGTGAAGGAACCGGTATCTTGAAAGTTTTAGCAGAATTTTCCCCTGAGAATACTGCTATTTAGCAATCTGAGTTCTTGGAGAGCATAAAAACATGTATTAGACAATTTTAGTCGATGTTTTTACATAGCCCAATTTTTTCGAAATTCGAAAATTGAAATTCTAGCATATTTTTGAAAATTCCGATTTTTTCCAAAACGGTACATGATATGGAAATATTTCAAGGGCACAAATTGTGCAGAGATCAGCAAAATTGTTATTGTTTTCCGAAATTCAAAATTTACAAGATGGCAATTAACGACGATTTTATTTGTTATTGTTTTCAATGCATCATGAAAGTATGGCTAAAAAAACTTCAACTAAATTGATGTATGTATAAGATTTCAGATCTTCTTTATTTATTCATAAGTGGCGTTATGCTATTCTTCTTTAGTTAACATATACAAAAGTCCAAATAATAAAATAACTCATAGCAATGTTGTTTTATACCCTTCGCCACTCTGTGGTACAGGGTATTATGTCTTTGTGCATATGTTTGCAGGCAAAAGGAAACGAGATAGACACATGGTTCCTTTTGAGAATATGCATAGAATCACTTTCTAAGTCGATTTATGCATGTCCGTCCGTCTGTCTGTCCATGTTAAATTGTAAATAAAGTACAGGTCGCATTTATGATCCGAATTGGATGAAATTTGGCACATGTCACTTATTCGGCCCAAGGACGAACCCTATCGGTTCAGATTTAGATATAGCTCTCATATATATAACCGATTTAATGTAAACGGTCCCTATATATCTTTCGATTTGCACGAAATTTGGTACAGCCTAATCATTTAGGTCTAGAATGATGTCTGCCAAGTTTCGTGAAAATCGGTCCAGATTTATATAAATGGTGCACCAAAGTCCTTATATATCTTTCAATTTGCACCAAATTTGGCATAACGTACTGAATTGAGTCTAGAATTATGTCTGCCAAGTTTCGTGAAAATCGGTCCAGATTTAGATATAGCTCCCATATATAGTTTCGTCCGATTTAATGTAAATGGTGCCCCAAAGCCCCTATATATCTTTCTATTTGCACGAAATTTGGCATATCGTACTGAATTAAGCCTAGAGTGATGTCTGCCATGTTTCGAGAAAATCGGTCCGGATTTAAATATAGCTCCCATATATAATTTCGTCCGATTTCATATAAATCGTGCACCAAAGTCCCTATATATCCTTCGATTTGCACGAAATTTGGCATAACGTATTGAATTGAGCCTAGAGTGATGTCTGCCAAGTTTCGAGAAAATCGGTCTAGATTTCTATATAGCTCCCATATATAGTTTCGTCCGATTTCATGTAAATGGTACACCAAAGTCGCTATATATCTTTCGATTTGCACGAAATTTGCCATAACGTACTGAATTGAGCCAAGAGTGATATCTGCCTTGTTTCGTGAAAATCGGTCCAGATTTAGATATAGCTCCCTTTTATTATAGATTTATTTTAAGTAATTGACGCACCAAGGAACCAATATGCTAATTGGAACAAAACGTTCTGAAATTAGTATAACCTAACCTGTGACAAGTTTGTTTGAAATCGCTTAATATTTGGATAGAGCTTCCATATATATTTTCGACCGATTTCAAGTAAATTGGGCATCAAACTCCTCATGTTAGTCAGATTGACATCAAATTTTGCACAACTTACAAAATTGAGCATAGAACTACGTAGTTGCGTTTTCTAGAAGTACAGAAATAGCCTAACGGATGACCTATTATATTTGTTTGAAGCCGATTTACATACTTTATGGATAGATCTAGGTAGATTCACATTTAGATAAATATCACATATTTTATTTCATCCAATTAAATGTTAATAGTCCTGTTTAATATACCCATAGTGGTGAAGGGTACCATATAGTCGGCCCCGTCTGACTTTACTACGTTCCTTACTGTTTTTTTTTTTTTGTAATTTCGTGTTGGACGTATTAACTTAAAACTCCTATTATTTTGATTAGGTCACATTGTGTTATATACAAAATGTAATAGCTATATAATTTCTGTTAATTGGTTCTTCTGATTTTTTAGTGAACATCATTTTAGTTTGAATTTTAATTTTTAGCGACAAACACATTTTCACATTTACGCCCCTAATCCTTATCGCCAGGGCGGCTCAGGCCTGCACTCTTGCATTTGTTATCAGTATAATTTTCAGACTCACATACACAACTTCAACGGATACAAACGGTGTATATTTAGATGTATTTTGTTTTTTTTTTAATTTCATAACTTTTAAGTTAAATTTCATTAGAAATAAATATAATTATTATTGATTGACAAGAATCACACCCCACTTTATTACACATCTGTATAGAACAAAGAATTAAGTTTGAAAATAAGTTTGTTATTATCGGAATATCGATTTGTCACTTTCACATCTCACCATTCACAATCACATTATACATTTTGTTTACCTCCCGTTTCCACCTTGGCAATCCATGTTAGGGCAAAGACATCTAAACGAAATCCAATGCTAAGGCCAGCATAGAGAAAATCACTGGCCTTAGACCAATATCCTCGTTTTAAATCGGGTATAAATGGACGACCGCCACATTCATACGATGACTCATAAATCATTATCGCGACCGTTTTATTTCTTTTCTTCTTCTTTTTATTGTTTATTATTGAATTGAGTCTTAGTCTTGATGTGTTTTATTCGAAATGCAAGCACGATTTGAGAAAAGAATATTCAAATCTTATGATTTAATATGAATGAAATGGTATTTCGATGTCGTGAAACCGCATATAAAAATAACATATTTTTATCGCTCTGCAATGTAGACGAGTGCATTGAGGTTTTTGTTTTGTTTTGGAATATCTGTTGGGAAATTTCTTAAGATGCTGTAATTGCAATACCTACGAGGAGGGTATATTAATTTTGTTATTTCATTTGTAATCGAAAAATTGAGACGAAATTTATTATGTCTAGATTATGAAATATGAATTCAATGGGGCTTTGAAAGTTATGTAATTGGTCGGTATAAACAATACTTATTAAACCGCTTTAGAATCGGTCGACGCTGAAAATGATTCTCTTCGAGATATTGGAACTATATGACTATAAATTGTGTTCTAGTAGTTTATTTATGCTCTCAGACAAATGACAGACACTCAGTTTGGAAAATTCACAATTTCGGTGGCTGCATTTGGTGTGTCTTTTTTAAATAATTTTCAAAGTACTATCAGAAGCGTGAATATTTTATAAAATAGTTTTAAAGGAATTACGGAAGCGTTGATTTTTTGATAGTTTTTGTAAGATTAACCAAAGGCAAAGGACGATAATTTTTAAATAATATTTTTTGTAAGGATCATCAAAAGGCAAGGGACGAGGATTTTTAAAGAGTAGTTTAAGTGAGGATCATTAAAAGACAATGGACAAGGATTATTAAAGGAATGATTTTGGTAAGGAATAGTTTTTATGCAATAACAGAAGCGTTGATCTTTTAATAGTTCTTGTAAGACCATCAAAAGACCAAGGACGTGGATTTTTTAAAAGAATTGCCAACACTAAATTTGGAAAATTTGCAACTTTGGTGGATGAATTCAGAAAAATAACAATGAAAATTAAGCAAAAACTTTATATGGAGATATATGAGAATATGCATAGAATTACTTTCTGAGTCGATTTATACATGTCCGTCCGTCCGCCTGTAGATGTTAAATTGTAAACAAAGCGCAGGTCGTATTTATGATCCGATTTGGATGAAATTTGGTACAAGTCACTTATTTGGCCCAAGGACGAACCCTATTGAAATTGGTGAAAATCGGTTTAGATTTAGATATAGCTCCCATATATATTTTCGTCCAATTTATGGTAAATGAGGCACCAAAGTACCTATATATCTTTCGATTTGCACTAAATTTGGCATAGGGTACCAAATTAGGTCCAGAATAATGTGTGTTAAGTTTCACGAAAATCGGTTCAGATTTAGATATAACCCCCATATATAGTTTCGTCCGATTTTATGTAAATGATGTATAAAAGTCCCTATATATCTTTTCATTTGTACCAAATTTGGCATAGGGCACTGAATTGGGCCCAGGATGATGTGTGGTAAGTTTCGTGAAAATTGGTGCAGATAAATATATAGCTCCCATATATATTTTCGTCCGATTTTATGTAAAAGGTACACCAAAGTACCTATATATCCTTCGATTTGCACGAAATTTGGCACAGCGTACTGAATTAGGTTCAGAATGATGTGTGCTAAGTTTGAAGAAAATCGGGTCAGATTTCGATATAGCTCCAATATATATTTTCGTCTGATTTTATGTAAATAGTGCACCAAAGACCCCATATATCCTTCGATTTTCACGAAATTTGGCATGGCGTACTAAATTTAGTGTAGAATGTTGTGTGCTAAGTTTCGTGAAGATCGGTTTAGATTTACATCGTCCGATTTGAGGTAAATTCTGCACCAAACTCCTCATGTTAGTCCGATTGACACGAAATTTTGAACAACGTACCATATATATTTCGAAAGGATGTGTGATTGAGATTATATTTTAACAGTGCGGTATACTGAGCAGCGTGTATCAAGTTTGCTATAAATCGATTTACATAAATTTGTCCATTGCACGCAAACGATTCTAAATCTGTCCGATAGAAATTAAATTTAGCACAGGTTGCAGAAAGGTGTATGTTCCTTCGACGGAACATAGACATGAATATGTTAGGATACATATGTATAATATACATAAAGTGGTGAAGGGTATCATATAATCGGCCCAGTCCGACTTTACTACTTTCCTTGCTGGTTTTAAATTGAATCAATTAAATTAGTTTTGAACACGTTGTTAAACGAAATACTCCTTGGAGACCACATAATGAACACGAAGTTTCAAATTGCAGCCCCTTTTTAAACTCTACATCACATTGCCGAACAGGGTATTATGTCTTTGTGCTAAGACAAATAGCATACCGAACAAATAATAACCTATAACAAAAAAAGAAACTGTAGTTTATGCAATTTATCTATTAAAATTTTATTTAATTTCGTTTTTTAAATAATTTTTATATCACTTATTAAATAATAAATTATTTATAAATATATATACAAGTATATGAGTTCTTATAAAAATAATCGAATTTAAAAATTTATTAAATACACAATAAGTATACAGATATACATAAGTACAGTCATTTCCGCTTAACTGGCTCATTGGTTAATTGATTGAGTGATTTAACAAAAATTCACAAGGTCTCCCGGCGAATAATTAAATTTGACGTTTTCACTTGGCTGAAACAACTGTCACTTTTTTGGTTGACAAATTCCAATTAAACGGAAATGACTGTAGATAATTTCAATAATTAATTTAAAATAAATGTTTGTGTGTATGTTTGTCTTGTTTAGAGTATTCCCCGTTTATAATATTAATTTGTTTTTTGTTTCTGTTATGATTTCACTTTTATCACTTGCGTTTTGATAATGTAGTTTTTGTTTTGTTTTTTTCAGCAAAAATTATATTAATGCTAATATTAAAAATAAAATATAAAGTCTTTTGTTTCAATTAGATGGGATGACCGTCTATCAACAATTCTCATGTTCATTGTTTAGTATGACCAACATTTCGGATGTACCCATTATTTCTTCGTAGAAGCGACGATTGTCCGCATCGACGGGATGCCAATCATGTGGCGCAAAACATTGCTTGACACGTTGACGCAAGGAGCCCGTCGTCCGACTAACTTTGTACACCATGTACAGGGGGACGGCGGCAAAGACCATACACTGTGTTATCAGTATCAATACAGAGGGCGGATTATTGCTATCATCGCTGTAGGAATAGGTTGCATAGATGACATCGCCCTGTGTTTTGTGTGTGCGCGGAGAATTGAAGATAAGGAAAGTAAACAAAATATTTATTATTATCGTTATTTTATAATAGAGGGCGTTATTTTCTTTGGGGAATTGACCCAATCTAAACGCTGAAAAATACTTACAATGCAGAAACCCAAAAAGATGGGCGTCAAAAAGCGCAAAAGAAATATTTTAAAATTGGAAATGGTTTTGCCAAGCATAAATTGTAAATCACACTGGAATCGTTCTCTGCCATAGACCCATGTACTGACGAACAGCAGTAGTATGGAAATGGTTAAATGGGTCACTGTCACAATGTCGGGCAAGATATGCAACTGTTGAAATCCTTGCTGTAAATAAACAAAGAGAAATGATAAATGTAGAATGAACAGTGTATAATAAACTTTCGACAAAAATTGTCTTTATCTAAGTCACAAGTATGTTGTGAGGGTGTTGTAGGTTTGAGTGGTCCGAAAAGTTTGTAACGCCACAAACGTTATATCTGAATCTATACAGATATAAAAACATATATTATTTATATATCTATAATGTGTACGTAGGTTCGGGCAGTTTTTTTTTGGTGGATCGGTTTTTATACCCTCCAACATAAGGTGGAAAATATATAAAATTTGTTATTCCGTTTACAACATACCCCATAAAATTCTATTACGATTCATGCTTTCCGTCTGCCTATCTGTTGAAATCACGATTGAGATCGTAATATTTGAGATAGAGCATTGAAATTTTGCACTGGCATTGCTAGGTATATCGGTCCACGTTTTGGTATATCCCCCATATGACGGAACCCCCGAATATAAGGTATTTTGGGAATATGCATAGAATCAGTTCCTAAGTCGATTTATGCATGTCCGTCATGTTAAATTGTAAAAAAAGTACAGGTAGCATTTATGATCCGAATTGGATGAAATTTGGCACTGCTCATTTATTTGGCCCAAGGACGAACCCTATTAAAATTGCGAAAAATCGGTTCAAATTTAGATATAGGTACACATATATATTTTCGTCCGATTTAATAGTTAAATGGTGTACCAAAGTTCACGCATATCTCCGATTTGCACGAAATTTCGCATAGCGTACTGAATTGATTCTACAATGATGTGTGCTAAGTTTCATGAAGATCCGTTCAGATTTAAATATAGCTCTCATATATATTTTTGTCCGATTTAATGTAAATAGTGTACTTATGTCCCTATATATATTTCGATTTGGACGAAATTTTGCATAGTTTATTAAATTGAGCCTAGAATGATGTATGTAAAGTTTCGTGAAAATCAGTTCAGATTTAGATATAGCTTCCATATATATTTTCACCCGATTTAAGGTATATGGTGTAACAAAGTCCCCATATATCTTTCGATTTGCACGAAATTTGACAGGCGTATGGAATTGAGTGTAGAATGATGTGTGTAAAGTTTCCTGATAATCGGTTCAAATTTAGATACAGCTCCCATATGTCTTTTCTTCCGATTTTATGTAAATAGTGCACTGAAGACCCAAAGTTTTTCTGATTGGCACACAATTTTGTACAATGTACTGAAGTTAATATAAATTAATCTCTGGTAGATTTCGTTGAAGTCGGTTCAGATTTAGGTATAGCTCCCATATATATTTTTGCTGGATTTTAGGTAAATGTTGCACCGTGTGACACTAAATTTTGCACAGCATATCGAATTGATTGAGATTAAATTTTGAATAGTTCGGCCTTCCGAATAGCTTGTATCAAGTTTGCTTTAAATCGATTTACATTTTAGCAAATGACATGAAATGAAATTTAGCATAGATTCCAGAAAGACATAAATATCACATATTCGAGTTTGTTCAATTGCATAACAATTTTCTTTCAAAAAGGCGACGTCTGTTAGAAGACATATGTAGAATATACCCAAAGTGGTGAAGTGTATCATATAGTTGGCCCAGCCCGACTTTACTACTTTCCTTACATGTTTAAATTAAAGTTTACGGTTTGCTATGGCTCCCATAATCGAGATTAGTATCACCATTCAACGAGATCGAGCTGGCAGGAGATCTTGAGCAGAAATCTTTATGTTGTTAGTTTTTTTTGGGTAAGAATGCTTCAGTATTCTGTTCTGGTTGTGACTTCTGGGCCGACAACTGGAATTGTCTAACTTTTAAAAGCAAGCCAATATTGTTGACTCTGTCAGAAAACATGTCCGAAAAATATTAAACCGACATTTTAGGAGCGCTGTTCAAAAGTGACCCGTTTTCAAAGCTGCCCCTCTCTACTACTTTATGGGTTCTCCTGTAAATATTTCGAGGAGTTACAAACAGAATGACAAGTTAAATTTACACTCCACCTTATGGAGGATGGTATAAAAATAACGGGGGTCAAATAAGAGCATCATCTAAATTTGCAATGATCGTTTGGTGGTGCTTGGGCTCATAAACCTTCAGAAGAACTATGGAAATTCTTCAGAATATTCTATATCTGCGAAAAAACTCTTCAGAATGTTCTGAATAAGTCATGAATATATATACTTTATAGGGTCGGAAATGATTATTTCGATGCGTTACAAACGGAAAAACAAAACACCCAGACTTTGGACTTAATGGACAGGGTATAAAATGTTCGGCTCCGTCGTGCATCCTAATTCTGTAGACCATTCCATGAAGTCATAAAAAACTAAAACGATCTAGAATCTAAAATTTGACACACAAATGTATTGGTTGGTTTAACTTAAATCTGTGTTTAAGTCATTCCTCAGAACCCCTGTCCCATGTTTCATCGCCTGTTACTCCTCTACGTATTTTATCGCAAATATTCGAAGACCACTTTGAAATAAGTTTTTCCCATCTCCTGGAATTCGAACACGATCCATCGAGTTGTAATCTGACACAATACGCACCCCATTCCTCTGTTGCACAATTTCATATTTTTCGGATCACAGTTATTGCCAATATGAAAATCACTATATGCTTATGATTACAAGCTGCAATGAGCATACGAAGACAGACAAATATTGTTAGATAAACCAAATTGAACAAAGAGAATTGAGCTTATAATGACATGTATCAAGTTTGCTTTGAGATCCTCTATATAACTTCGCCTGGTTTTATGTAAATGGCAATGGCCTTTAAGTTTCTTAGTAACAGATATTTCCTATAATCGAAAGGAGAGCAGCCTTCATGGTTAGAAAAATCTTCCGATCATTTTTCTAATTGTTTCCTATATATATCTCCCATATCTGATTTACTTACCTTTGTACAGAAATATACGGATATCAGTAACATCGCTGCACACAGTCCAATTGGTAGTATTGTTGTTTTTCTGCGCAAATTTTCGAATTCATCGAATAAAGCTCTTAAAACGGTCATCATTTGTACGATCTGCAATGAAAGTGAGTAGCCATTTTAGCAAATATATCAAATTAATAATTGCAGAATAGTTAACTTACAACAGCTGATAGCTCTGCTAAAAAGAGCATGAGGAAAAATAAAAATGCCCAAAAGTTGGGTAAACTACTAAAGCTGCCAAATAAATAAGCAAAGCAAATGTAAACAAATCTCAAATTGTGTTCTTCGTTGACATGGACATGCAGGAGAGCTACGTGATCTGAAATATACATGAAGATAGAATGGAAATAATAATAATAATTAATATCAAAAAGAAAAATTTATAAAATTGATTCATTTTAAACTTGTATATGCTTTTATATTATCTATAGGCCTTAAGAAAGTTTTATAACTGTATACGACCTTCAGAAAGTCTCATATCTACAGATGACTTACGAACGTTCTTATATCTGCAGAATACCTTGAGAAGGTGTTATGTCTATAGAAGATCTTCAGAAGGTTATATCTATAGAAATCCTGCAGAATGGCTTATATTCACAGAAGACAATCATAAGGTCTTACATCTGTAGGCGATGGTCGTATAAGTGTAGAAGATATTCAGAAGGTCTTATATTTATAGAAGTCCTTCAGAAGGCCTTATATCTATAGAAGTCCTTCAGAAGGCCTTATATCTATAGAAGTCCTTCAGATGTTTTTATATCTACAAAAGACAATTATTTTATATCTATAGAAGACCTTCAAGAGATATCATAGCTATAAAATACTTATATTATTTATACAAATTAGATGATTTTTGTACGCTCGTATGTGTACAATATCCAGAAAATCCTCTCACGAACTCACCTTCAAAATGATCCATTGCTATTCGAGTACACAGTGTACCCATTTGTGTAATGAGCACAAATGTTAAAGCTACCCAATAGGTTTGTTTTTCCGAATCTTGACGAAAACGATTATGACTAGCCAATGTAAGTACGCTACCACATCCAGGACCCAATAACCATATTGGCATTAATACCGCCGCTTTAATGCCAGCCATTATCGCTAAATGACTATCGGGCAGTGTAGGTTCCATATAGTCGATCAATGTATGCCACGAGATATGAACATACATCAGCAAATGTACAAAAATGGCAGCGAAGAGAGTAATTAGTAGGAGGCATACGCAACGCAAGAATTTTCCTATCTGAAAATAGGGAATTTGATTTAAAGATAACATTTGGGAATTATAAGAAAATTCTGAATCTACTTACAAATGATACACCTTTAAGGCTTATCGCTAATGTTAGTAGCCATACTATAAAGACACTGCCCAAAATAGGCCATGAGATCGCAAGAGGATTATTGGAGCTGTCATCGGAACGTATGATGTAGCTGAAAATAAATTAAAATGTGAACATTTACAAAAATGGAGGTAAACAATATGCACAAAGAAAAAGAAAGACGGTTAAATCTTCAAACACAAGATGTTTGGAGGGTCAACAAATATTTCCAGACATATAACAACTTTTACGGAAAGATTTTCATACATATACTGCAACCCAATTTCGGTATTTGAACAGTTTTGGAGAATTCTTCATTAAAATGGCTGCAATTTTGCGTTTTCGGTTCTAGGAAAATGAAAAACATTTTGGTAGAAAATGTTCAATATAGACCCATGTTTAATTTTTATACCCTCCACCATAGTATGGAGGGTATATTAATTTTGTTTTTCCGTTTGTAACTCATCGAAATAATCATTTCCGACCCTATAAAATATATATATTCTTGATCAGCGTAAAATTCTAAGACGACCTAAGCCTGTCCGTCTGTCTGTCCGTCTGTTGTAATCACTCTAGCGTCTAAACGAGTTGAGATAGATCGCCAAAATTTTGCATAGAGTCGTCTTTTGTCTGCAGGCAGGTCAAGTTCGAAGATGGGATATATCGGTCCACGTTTAGGCATACCTCCCATATACCCCCAAATTTTAGGTATTTTGGGGTTCTTGAGCGCATTTTTCAACCGAATTCGCTGAAATTTGCTACATTGGGTTCGTATTGGATACCAAATGTCCCCACAAAAAATTACTTTGAGTTCTTATTGGGTAGCAAATCTCTATACTAAAAATTATAAATATAGGTCAATTTTTTCGGGTAGCCCCCATATAAGGGTACCCCCCAATTTTCGGTATTTTAGGGTTCTTCAGAGCGGGTTTCAACCGAATTCGCTGAAATTTGGTACATTGGGTTCCACTTTTTCTGGTAGCCCCCATATAAGGGTACTTCCCAATTTCCGGTTTTTGAGGGGTTTTGACCAGATTTTTTCACCGAATTGGCTGTAAATTAGTAATTAAGGTTCTTATTGGGTAGCAAATCTCTCCACAAAAAATTATTAATATAGGTCAATTTTTTCGGGTAGCCCCCATATAAGGGTACCCGTAATTTTCGATATTTTGAGGTTCTTGAGCGCGTTTTTCAACCGAATTCGCTGAAATTTGATATTTTGTAGTCTTATATGAAATTAGTCCAAAACTGAGCATAGAATTACGTAGTTGCCCCGACATAGCCCAACGGATGATTTTATACTTGTTTGAAGTCGATGGACATACTTTATGGATAGATCTAGGTAGATTCACATTTAGATAAATATCACATTTTTTTCCAAAACATTCCAATTTTATGTTAATAGTCCTGTTGAATATACCCATAGTGGTGAAGGGTATCATATAGTCGGCCCCGTCCGACTTTACTTCTTTCCTTACTGGTTTTTATATTAAAATAGTTATCTGATTTGTTCCGTGTGTTGCGGTTGGGTAGTCGTTACGGGGAATAGTAAATTTTTACCCTACATAGACTATTTAGCCATCTGTTGTAAGCATTCCGCCTTCTAAACATATTGTGATAAAAAAACTCAAATATGACGATAATTAAATATATCGGTAGACATTTAGGCATCTCCTCAATATAGTGATACCTCTTGAAGGAAAGAATTGAGATAAACTATTAAAATATTGGGTTCAAAATTGGCATATACAGGTCATTAATTAGGCATAGCACTCATATAATTATATCCACTATTTCCCACACTATGTAATTAGTATTGGTCCCCTTTAGGTATACCCTTTGTAATCTAAATGTCAGTAGTTTGAGGATTTTATACTCTACCATGCGTTATCAGATCAGTCCACTTTTTGGATCTTACAGATTTTAGGAAAAATCCCCATTAAAAATTGCTGAAGTTTGTATTTGATGTACATAATGGTTTACATAAATTGGTTTGTAGAATTATCGGTATATGCCCACTTTTTGGTATGTTCCCTATATTTTCATTGCATGTATTTGTCAGTATAACTATGGTGGAGGGTATCCAAAGTTCGGCCCGGCCGAACTTAACACATTTTCACTTGTTTTTTTTTCGATTTTAGCCGCATTTTTCAAATGAAGTGTCTGTAATTTGACAATCTTGTATTTCTGGCAGACAAGTTGAAACAAATAGCCCAAATAAATTTCAATGAACACATTTTTAGGTATTTAAAATGCACACCTCTTGGTGATAGATATAAATGAGAGACCCGACACACTGTGGTACATGGTATTATGTCTTTGTGCATATGTTTGTAACAGGCAAAAGGAAACGAGATAGACACATGGTTCCTTTTGAGAATATGCATAGAATCAGTTTCTGATTCGATTTATGCATGTCCGTCCGTCTGTAGATGTTAAATTGGAAACAAAGTACAGGTGGCATTTATGATCCGATTTGGATTAAATTTGGCAAAAGTCACTTATTTGGCCCAATGACCACCCTATTGAAATTGGTGAAAATCGGTTCAGATTTAGATATAGCTCCTATATATATTTTCTTCCGATATAGGCACCAAAGTCCCAATTTGGCATAGAGTACTGAATTAGGTCCAGAATGATGTGTTTTAAGTTTCGTGAAAATCGGTTCAGATTTAGATATAGCTCCCCTACATAGTTTTTTCCGATTTTAAATAATTGGTGAACCATAGTCCCTATATATCTTTCTATTTGCACGAAATTTGGCATAGTGTACTGAATTAAACTTAGAATGATGTGCGTTATGTTTCGAGAAAATCGGATCAGATTTCGATATAGCTCACATATATATTTTCGTCGGATTTAAGGTAAACAGACTGCAAACAGACGTAACTACACTCCTGTAAAAAACTAATGCTCGCAATATTGAAGATAGAAATTCTGAACTTATATTAATGTTACTTCTGGGATGTTTGATATTGAAAATGAGATATAATCGGCCAATTTTTTACGTTAGCCCGCATATAGCGGCACCCCAAATTCAAGGCTTTTCTTCATTTTTTAACTAATCAGCTATAATTAGGTATTTTTGTTTTCCACTGGGTGTATCGCTATCGGAGAAATATGTAATTCTTAAATGCAACATTTACATAACATCGGTCGAAACTGTATATGGGAGCTATATCGAAATTTGAACTGATTTTCCCGAAACTTACCATTCACCATTTTAGACACAATTCATTACGCTATGCCAAATTTCGTGCAAATCGAAGGATATGAAATGACCTTGGGGCACTATTTATCTAAAATCGGACGAAAATATATATGGGAGCAATATCTTAATCTGAACCGACTTTCACGAAATTTAGCACATATCTTTCTAGACTTCAGTACGCTAGGTCAAATTTCGTGCAAATCAATATATATAGGGACTTTGGGGCACCATTTACATAAAATCTGAAGAATATATATATTGGAGCTATATGGAAATCTGAACCGATATTTCCGAAACTCACCACTCATCACTCTAGACTTAATTCAGTACACTATGCCAAATTTCGTGTAAATCCAAGGATATATAGGATACCTTAAATCGGACGAACATATATATGGGAGCTATATCTAAATCTGAACCGATTTTCACGAAATTCAACACACATCTTTTTAGACTTAATTCAGTACGTTATGCCAAATTTCGTGCAAATCGAAAGATATATGGGGACTTTGGGGCACCAAATTTCATCCAATTCGAATCAAAAGTGCGATCTGTACATTGTTTACAATTTGTTATCAACTTAGAAAGTGATTATATGCATATTCTCATTTCCTTTTGCCTGTTACAAAAATATGCACAAAGACATAATATCCTGTACCACAGTGTGGTGAAGGGTATAAATATATATACAATAGCTACAAAATATGATTTCCAGCTATATCTTGTCTCACAGGTTTTCTATATCCTCAATTAGTTTTGCATGGTTAACGATATCGAAGGCTTCTGTTCTCATTTCTGTGCTCGTTCAGTCCTCTAATAATACGTGCGGAAGTGATTATGACATTCAAAGTATCTAAAAAATAAAATTAATCCCCAAAATATCGAATATTGGGAGTACCGTTATATGGGTTATACAATGAGAACTCAAAATACCAAATTACTGTCAATTCGATTGAACAACGTTTTCCAAATCCTCAAAATGCCAAATAGCGATATATCCCATTAGAAGTACTAGCAATGTCTGTGTTTCAACAGACGGACATGCTGAAATCGACATAGAATTATATTCTGGCCGAGAATATTTCGAGGTATTGCAAACGGATAAACAAAAGTAATATACACTCAACCTTATGGTGGAATTTATAAAAACTAGCTCTATCGTGATGGGGCCCACAGTGAATATTTTGTGGTGTTATAAAATCAATGACAAATTTATAATACACGTCACCTTATGGTGCTGCGTATAACTACATTGCAGTCGTTTTATACTTTCTACTTCAATAATAAGTACTCGGATGTATATTTTTCATCGTAGCTGTAGGAAATGTAGGAAATGTCTATAGTAAATAACTACACGACCGAATATATCCAACACAATGCATTTTACTATTGACATTGAACATGTGCTTGTCATTGAGAATGAACTATTGGCATGGTGAGTAGTAAGTCAGTAGTTTGTATATATAGTCACAGCGTCACAAATGTGGACACGGTCAGTAGTAAGTCACTAGTTTGTAGATATAGACAGAAGGTCACATATTTTACTTGTAAATCTTTTATAATTTCTTTTGCTAATTTTTTTCTTCACCAATTAATTAAATTAATTATCCAATTACATTTATTAACTTCAAAACGCGTTTTTAATAAAATTTCTGTGTGGTGCCGCCAAAAATATTTCTAATAACAGAAAAATAAGAAGAAGCATAACTATGCTCCGTTGGCTGTTAACATAACAAAAGCTTCTTCTTATTCCATGTAGACAAGTTGTTGTAAATATGGAGACATGACGCCACAATAGTAGACAAAAGCGATACAACACCCCACATTTCCTTCAGGGTACATTGTTGTTGTGTTGTTGTTGTGCTCACGCCTAAAAGTATGCTAATTAATTGAAATAAGTGCTGTATGTTTCTTTTGTAGAAAACTTATTGTAACACTCAGGCAATGTTAAAACAATATTACGATACGTGATAAACGATACATACAGTTTGTCAAATAAATATTTTCAAACTTAAAACATTCCAAAGCCTAATTGATCTTTTGTGATGTCTATAAAATTATACTTACCGAAAGAATTCTTCCGAGGAATGTGGAAAAATTTCATCTTCCTAGAATCAACAAAATAAATTTAACATATCTATTGGCATTATTAAAAACATAATAATAATTATAATCATAACTTACATCATAGTCATCGTACGTGCTATGTGTTGAACAATTTGGCGTATTCCACGAGTTATTACAACTCATCCATGGTATCACAGTTTGTAGAGAATTGACGGCATAGACTAAAGGTAGCGCAGCAATGACCGCATAATATGATAGTGAAACGAAATTGTGCAGTAAAATGGAATAACCAATGCCTGTCAAAGATATACAAAATCAAAGCCTAATTGTTAACTTTTTTAATAAACTTTCTCGATTGTAAAAAAAAAATATTCTTACCTTTGAATAGCGGTGCTACACGAAACACAGATATTGTGCCCGACGATGAAAATTGTCCCAGAAATGTTTGTATACCAAATATGGGAATGGCATACAGTAGAACACCCAACAGATATGGCAATAATGCATACGCTAATGACAAAAGAAAAAAAATCAAAACGAGAAACAAATTAAAATGAGGTTAATGAGAGCATTCTCGTAGCGCTCGAAGGGAAATATAAATCAATTTGCTTTAACCTTTCAATGAACTTTCTTTCTAATCAGCTTAGTATAATTGAAAATAATCGCACTGTCGACAGTACGACGACGACAGTATGTCTAATGGAATAACTTGATTTGCTAAACTAGACACATGGATGTGGTTGTAGAGCGTTACGAGAGTAAGTAATTATAAATAAATGCAACGTTTTTTTATTATTTTCATAAAGGTTTTTTTTTGCATGGAAATTAATTACAATCGTAGTCACTGTAGCTATCTATATAGTCTATGGGAATTAAATGATCGTCTAATTGTATTTTTGTAGTAGTTTTATTCTCGGTTTCAACAAATTTATGTTTTGTTTCATTTGAAAATACACTAATTGAAGAATGTCCCTTTAAAATTGCAAGTGCAAATATAAACAACTGTTGAATATAATGTCGATTTATTTTGTCAGCATTAAACGGATCGATAGAACTGACATAGCTTTAAGCGGTGTACACACTAGCACTTTTGAGTGGCACTCTTGCCCAAATTTTGCTTGTTTGATAGTGTGGCCTCTCATGTTTGTCATTCATCAGGCAACCACAAAAATATTCATGGTTGTTGGACAGTCAGTAATCGATAAAAAAGTTGACAGTCAAAAATGATAGTGTGTACACCGCTTTATGGATAACTATTGTTCTGAAATCGGGTGACATTAATTATGTGATTTATATTGATATATGAACCGATTTTAAGAGAAATAAAATCGATCATGTTGTGATAGACGAAAGGCATTCATCCAGTGTTTTAGACGTTCGATCGATCAGAGCGAATGTCGATTTGGACAACTACCTTGTAGCAGCCAAGGTTAGCACTCGTAGCAGCAAAGGTGCGATCTAACACAACACTGAAACTCGACGAAGAAAAGCTGGAAACACAACAGGTAGACGAGACCTACTCCGCTCAACTTACCTACCTGTTTGACGAAATCACTTCTTGTTCCGCTAATAGTATAAAGCACAATGGCAAAGAATTGCCCACTCCCTACAAACTGCAGCAAAAGCAACAAACCACCATCAATATACCCGTGGTACGATCAGGAGTGTCGTAATGCTACTGATGTGAAAAACGTAGCGTAAAGTAAAACCCTGCAGACAGTATCAACACGTAATGTGATGGAAATTTATCTGGAGAAAGGTAGAGAGGGGAAACGTATTTTCAGAAAGAAGAAGAAAAACGTGATCGTGAGCAAATCGAGATGTACAGGAGTCATAATGAAATCCGGAAATGTTACCAACGAGTAAAACACCAAACCGACCTTTGCTTTGGTGCAGGTACATCTTCCTGTAGATATGAAGAAGGAAACCTGGTGACACATACAGACAGCGTGGTGAGGATCTGAAATGAGCATTTTGAAAAGCTTCTGGTATCAAAAAGTGGCGGCGAAGAAGATACCCCAGAACCAAGAGATGACGGTATAGAATTTATACCATCTATTCAAGATGAGGTCAGAATAGTATTAATTCGGCTGAAGAATAATAAAGCAGCAGGTGCCGATAGGTTACTAGCCGAACTATTCAAGAATGGTGGTCAGATGCTGGTCAGGAGCATACACCAGCCGATTAGTACAATTTGGCTAGAGGAATGCATGCCCAATGATAGGAACCTCAGCATCCTGTGTCCCGTGCACAAAAATGGAGACAAGACGATATGTGTCTCCTTCCCATCGCATATAAAGTGCTATCCAGTGTGCTGTATGAACGATTGAAGCCAATGGTCAATGACATTATTGGACCATACTAATGCGGTTTCAGACCTGGCAAATCCACCATTGACCAGATTTTCACTCTGCGCCAAATCCTGGAAAAGACCCATGAAAAACACATCGACACATACCACCTATTCGTCGACTATAAAGCCGCATTCGACAGTCATATCTGTTTAGAGGGTTTTTAAAGCCATGTCTGCGTTCGTCATTCCTGCAAAATTAATATGGCTGTGCAGGATAACTCTCGGAGCCCTTTAATACCGAACGAGGATTCAGACAAGGTGATAATTTATCGTGTGACCTTTTTAACATCCTGCTGGAAATGGTCATACGAGAGGCAAAGGTGAACAGAAATTGGCACTCCGTACACAAAACAACACATGTTACTCGCCTACGCCGATGATATCAAACATTGACAGCGGTAACAGTTACAAATTGAGAAGGAATCTGCCAAAGTGACAGTAAACGGTGAGAAGACTAAGCTGATGGTATCAACGTGCAAGGCGTCCAGTAGACTCGGACAAACTGTGGAACTAGTGAACTACAGCTTCGAGGTAGTCAAAGATTTTATATACCTTGGTACCGCCATAAACAAAACTAATGACATCAGTTTTGAAATTCGGAAAAGGAAAGTGTTGGCCAACAGATGCTACTATGGTCTAAATAAGCAGTTTAAAAACAAGACCACCTCCCGCCAGACCAAACTCACACTCTACAAGACACTGATACTACCCGAGTTGTTATATGGATCTGAAGCACGGGTACTTACGCAAGCAGATGAGGCAGCTCTTCGAGTGTTTGAGAGAAAATCCCTCCGAAAGATCTATGGGCCGATCTGCGTTGACGGCGAATATCACCGTCGAATGAACTATGAGTTGTACCATATATTCTTGGACATCGGCATTGTCAGACGTATCGAGCTGCATTTTCTTAACCTATGTACCAAAAAACAATGAATGTGCTCGGATTTTTTTTCATATTTTTTAATGGAATTTTAAATGAATGTTTAAAATTCTCGTATTGACATTATAAATACTAGGATCACCTCCTGTAAGGTATAGTATATTTCGGTCTCTTCTTATTGGTTTGTAATGATTTTGATTATGTCTGTTAGTTATTTGTTCACGTGTTTATTCTCAAATGGATCATCAAATAACTGAGCTATCATAAATTATATTTCATTCATATTTAACAAAACAGAAATTGTTTACGCCTCTTAAATAGATTGTTTGCCACACAAACAATAACAATTTGTCTACATGCAATGAATTTTGCAAAATATTTAAATTTATTTCGAGCATGACGCGAAAAAGACAACTAAGAAACTATGTTTTTTTTTGCACTTACCTCCCGCAAACATTGAAACATACAGCGCCAATTCCGAAAAGACAATGGAACCGAATGCATGGCTGGTGCAGGAGAAATAAAAATCAGCTGCCGTCGACCAGCGACCTCGCAATTTGTCATACTTGAAGGGTCGCTGTAATGTGTCGTACGCCGTTGCCGTGGTCGATGTAATGAAATTATTATTTAGACCCAGCGTAGGCGGCGGGATGCCGGGTGGAAAGGAATCATCATCTTCATCGTGACGACCACAGTCACCATCGGTCACCACCATAGCTACCTCTGTTGCAGTGACATCTGTGTCATAGTCACGTTCAAGTTCATATTTGTGATTATAGTTCGTGGTGGCGGGTGGTGTTGCTGCGGTTGGGGATGGTGATGTCGTATCCGATATGATACGAGTACAGTTGCTTAATTGATTTTTGGCTTCAGTATAGAACGATTTCATGGTATATGTCTGAACACTTTATGGTTGTTTTCTATGCCTCCACAACTTTTTTATTGTTGTCTACGAACACTGTCGGATGATCATTTAATATGTCTCTGATTGCTGTTGTTGCTGCTACTGCACTTGGAAGATGCTGCCATTCAATTTTGTTGTCGTATTCAATTTCAATTTTTGACTTTTATTACCATAAATTGAGACCCCTGCTGTCTGTTTTGTTTGTTGTTCGTTCGATCCGTCCGTTCCGCTTGCTATTATTGTTCTATGAAGTGCCACTTGCACGACAAATGATGTTAATTTTCTAAAGTAGTCTGAGTTTGAGTCTGAGAATTTGTTCGTTAAACTGGCAGGCGGTGGCGGTCGCGGGGACGGTCATCTGTTGTTGTTGATCTCTTACTCTCCCCGGTTGAGGTTAAAACTGTTGCTGTGTTTGACTTTAAATTGTTTATTGTTGATTGATTAAAGCTGCTTGGGTTGTTGTTGTTGTATTTGAACTCATCACCATAATCATTAGGTTGTATTTACAATAGCAATTAGTTGTTGTCGGAATTAACAATTCAGTATTTTGTCATTGTTGGAATCGATACATTGTTTCCATTATTTTGTAGTTGTTATTGTTGTCCAGAAAAATGAGAAATCTATAGTTCTAAGAAAATTGTAATATAGATATGTCAAATTAAATGTTAGTGCATACTGTGTGTAATATATAGTAAGGGATAGAATTTTGCGTTCTCATCACTAATATTTATATAGGTGTGTTTAGTGTGGGCATCTATTTTTTTAATATTTGCATAAGTCCCACCAACCAACAAGTTTTCATGAATTTAATTATAGACTTTTTTTAGAAAAAAAAAAACACGCATGGATTCTTTTTTTTTTGCAGAGCTATATCCCTAACAACATTTCGTGGAAATTTACGTATATAAACCCCTGATAATATATAATGGCAATACTAAGGCTTATATAACCTGTAGACAGCTGTAAACATTTCAGTATATTTTCCAATTAATAGACCGACCATATTGTTGGACCATGTCTTCTCAGTGTAAACAATATTTGCAATTTTTCACACAAGAATTTTCTTCCATTTAAATCGTTAGGTTGGCCGGCTAGCATCAAACCCTGCATTTTTATTCATTCTCCACATTCCCTGTTGTGGCCGGTAAATAAACGTTTGAATTTGACTACATTTCTCGGAAAAACTGATAGAATTTATGGTCATAGATCACTTCCACCAGAAATGACCTCCATAACGCAGGGGTGTTAGGCAACCTCAACACTGTGGGTCACGAATCTAATTTTTTTGACAAAAAGTCGATTTCAGTTAGATTCGATAAAAAGTTATATATTTTTAATCTGGGGATTTTCAGATTTACACCACCAGTAAGGAAAGTTCAAAAGTCGGACGGGACCGACTATATGATACCCTTCACTACTTTGGGTACATACATATTTGGTATGCTGCGATACAGTGCGATATCTAAAATTAATCTCGACACAAAATCCAATACACGTTATTCTAGGTTCGATTGTGCAATAATTCATTCTAAGCGGACAAACTTTACTTGCTACATCATTTTGATGAAGTCGGATGAAGATATGTGGAAGCTATATCTAAACCTGAAACATCTTCAATCCAATACGCTATGGCATATTTCAGTTTAATTGAACAGACACAGCTCCTCCATTTGCATATAATCGGTGGGGAATATTGTTATATCGTAAGAAGTTGACAGACATGCATTAATCGATATAGATTTTTGTTCTGATCAAGAATATATATACTTTATTAGGCCTCCGGTGAATATTTCTTTATGGTGGAGGGTGAAAAAAAAAACTCCTGATTTAGTCATTTAAAAGACACGACGAGGGTAGTCTTCCAAATGAGTCTAGTTCTTATTGCAGATCTTAACATAATTACATGTTCTATATGTGGACCCTGGAGTTTTAGTTAAACCACCAAATTTGGCTATAATTTATCAATAGGGGATAGTATACCAGAAGGAGTGCATTTCTTTGTATAGGCCCAACTGAATGGGGTAATTTGTTGATATCCACTTTTTCTAGCCAATTTGGTATTTACTGTCAAGGCCCATATTTTGTATACTTTGTTGTCTTAAATTTTTAGGTCGATTGTATGATTTTTTTTGGTTTCATCCCAAATTTCCAAATGTTTCACGATAGAGTTGGATTTCTAATGTTAGAAAAGTGCCAGTAAATCTGCGAGAAGGTAAAAAAGACCGACCGGTCAAACATGTTATACCCTGCACATTGTGGTGTGTATCAAAATTATCTTAAAAAATGGTCGGGTACTTCATACGGTGGATGTGATATTGTCTGTTTTAAAATGCAGCTACTTCGATGGAAAAAATGTTCTTAAACCTCAAAAGTACGCAAATAGGATTATATTTTATATGTGACGTATATCCAAACATAACCTACGTAGGAAATTGTCTGCATAAATATGTTTAGAGGATGCTCCTAAAACCTTCAAAATACCGAAAATTTGAAAGTATACCGAAAAGTATCAAATCATAGTCAATTCCGAAGTTCCCAAAATACCGAAAAATGTGGGGTGCCGCTCTTTGGAAGCTATACCGAGCAAATAATAAAAAGTCTTGGTAGAGCTATTCTCTGTCCATTGAGAATTTAAAGCCACTTCGGTTGAAAAACGAATCTAAAGATTCCAAAACACCGAATATTGGAGGTATCGTTTTATGGGAGTTCTTCGGAAACATTTTTATAATTTTTGGTGGGAGGTGGGTAAACACCCATAGTGAGAACTAATTCAGATGTAAAACTTAACTGGACATAAAAGTTGACAAATATTGGCAATTTCTAGTAGGAAGATTTTCTGCACAGAGAGGAACCCAAAATACTAAATTTCAGCAAGTTAGGTTCAAAAACTTGCCCAAAAATTTCAAAATACCATATATTGGAGTTACCTTTGTATGGGGCCACTCCAAAAAGGACCGGTATATGTAGCAATGTGTACAATATTGCGAGCTGTATAGTTATTTAATCAAACAGACGGACATTGCAAAATCGACATAGAATTTTTATATTCTGATAAAGAATAAATGGGGTCACCTTTTGTAAAATATATTTTTAAGAAATACGGATCTCATTATTAATTATAATCAAATTTCCTTCTACACATTTTTAGCACTTTTATTTGGCATTTTTTTTAATTTTTTAGCACTTTGTAGCATTTTTTATCAACAAAGTTTTGGCAACACTGCATTGGAGAAAATCGGTTCAGATTTAGCTATAGCTCCCATATTTAGTTTCGTCCGATTTATGTACGTGATGTTTTCAGTTCAGTTTTAATGTAAATGGTGCACCAACTCCTAATATTTGTCCGATTGAGACAAAATTTTGCACAGCCTATTGAATTAGGTCCTGTTTGATATTTATGGAGTTTTGTTGAAATCGGTTTAGATTTAGATATAGTTCTCATATATAGCTTCGTCCGATTTTTGGTAAATGGTGCACCAGACTTTCAATATTAATTTCAATTGAGACAAAATTTTGCAGAGAGTATTGAAATAGGTCCACATTGATGTATACGAAGTTTTGTGAAAATTGGTTCAGATTTGGATATAGCTCCCCTATACCGATTTTTTTGGTAAATGGTGCACCAAACTCCCAAGGATTGTCCGATTGATACAACATTTTGCACAGCGTATTGGGATATGTCCATATTAATGTATACGACGTTTTGTGAAAATCGGTTCAGATTTAGATATAGCTCCCATATATAGTTTCTTCCGATTTTTGGTAAATGGCGTACTGAGGAGCCTATGTCTGTTCCATATACACGAGATAAAATTGTGGAAAGCGCTCTGTGCTGCAAACGGTATATGGCACGGTTGCTCTATTAGGTCCAGAATTGCGCATAGCTCCACATACATTATTTTGCTCGATTACATAAATATGGTACACAAAAAATCTGATTGACATACAATTTTTCATAGATTTCAGAATGGTATGTGCATGGGGTTTTTAATTGGTTCAAACATCTATGTAGATCACACATTTAGTTTTGCCCCATTCCATTTCAATGGTCCTATAAAGATTATATGTCTGTTCTATCTACATTGTATATATTGGCATCTTTTGTATGTATCCAAAGTGATGAAGGGTATCATATAGTCGGCCCCGTCCGACTTTTGATCTTTCCTTACCGGTTTTTATTAAAATTACCTCTTAACACTCAAGAATACTAAAAATTTGCGAAAAAAAATATGGACCATGATACCTACAATAACGGTATTTTTTAAATTCGTCAGAGTTGCATATGTTTTGGCCCAGCTAAAATCGAGTTATCCATTTTATTAAAAATTTTATAGCAAAATACCAAAAATTTCTGGGAAAAAATACAAAAAACGTTGAAAAATACTAAGTTAACCTCTTTTTAACTTCAAATAAAGATATTACTACATACTTCCACATATTCAATTTCAGTTGCATATGTTTTGACCACCACTGTATATTTATTATACCCTCCACCATAGTATGGAGGGTATATTAGTTTTGTTTTTCCGTTTGTAACGCATCGAAATATCCATTCTGTGACGATTTAACCATGTCCGTCTGTCCGTCTGTCTGTTGTAATCACTCTAGCGTCTAAACGAATTGAGATAGAGCCTCAAAATTTAGCATAGAGTCTGCAGGCAGGTCAAGTTCGAAGATGGGCTATATCGGTCCACGTTTAGGCATAGCTCTCATATAAGGGTACCCCCCAAATTTCGGTATTTTGGGGTTCTTGAGCGTGTTTTTCAACCGAATTCGCTTAAATTTGGTACTTTGAGTTCTTATTGGGTAGCAAATCTCCCCACTAAAAATTATAAATATAGATCCATTTTTTCGGACAGCCCCAATATAAGGGTACCACCAATTTTCGGTATTTTTAGGTTCTTGAGCGCGTTTTTCAACCAAATTCGCTGAAATTTGGTACTTTGAGTTCTTATTGGGTACCAAATCTCCCTACTAAAAATTAT